ACGGATTGGAACATTCTCTGCAGGGATATGTGATTTTGTTATCCTTTTCAAATCCGTAAATGCGTCTGGCATTTGATTTGCTATTCTCTGCAAATGAATAATCTTTTGCACCTCTTTTTCACAAATAGAGGCACGTGGATCAAGATGAGATAATGATGGATTTTGCCACAAAATTTCCCGTTTGGTTTCACCATTTTCTCCCCCTAATTTTGGGAAAAGTGTCTAATCGAATCGACAGTCTGCAAATCGTGCAGTGAACAAATCTCCCGTTAATGTTTCGAGGTAGCGAATAATGGAGTGCGATTCAAACCCAACATATATTCCTAACCTTCTTTGGGGACCCATTTTGGTGCGATATGGCGGTGCTACAGGCACATATACTGCGCATTCAAAAATTCTTAAATGGGATATATTAGGTTCATGACCCAAAACTAATTGTAACGGGGAATATTTATGATAATTTGTCGGTCTGAGACGAACTAGCATTGCTGCATGCAAAATGGTGTGACCCCAAACAGAAGTGGGCAGCCTCGTTTTCATGAGTAACGATCTTGCTATCAATTGCAGACGTTTAATTAAAGACTCTGCAAGGCCATTTTGAGTGTGAACATGAGCCACAGGATGTTTCACTTTTATCCCAATTGATAAGCAATAATCATTAAATGCTTGGGATAAAAACTCAGCAGCATTATCAAGTCTAATAGACTTAATTGGATTATCGAGGAATTGCGCCCGTAATCGAATTATTTGTGCCATCAATTTTGCAAATGTGAGGTTGCGTGATGACAATAGGCACACATGAGACCATCTAGAAGATGCATCTTTTAAGACCATGAAATATCTAAACGACCCACTAGGTGGGTGAATAGGTCCACAAATATCCTCTTGTATACGTTCCAAAAACGCAGGGGACTCAATTCCAACCTTTGTTGGTGATGGTCTAATAATTAACTTGTCTTGATAACAAGAAGTTCAACAAAATTCATTATTTAAAAGAATCTTAAAATTCTTTAATGGATGTCCATTTGAGTTTTCTATAATTCGTCTCATCATAATTGATCCAGGATGTCCCAATCGATCATGCCAAAGTACAAAAGTATTGGAATCAGTAACCTTTTGGTTTACAATAGAACGTGCCTCAATTGCACTAATTCTCATCCAATACAGGCCACAAGACAAAGATGGGAACTTCTCAATAGCCCTTTTCTAGCCAGAGACATTTTTGGTAATGATGAGATATTCAAGATTATTCTCATCTATTGTCTCAATATGATATCCATTTCGGCGGATATCTTTAAAACTCAACAAGTTCCTCTTGGACTTGGAGGAGAACATTGCATTCTCTATAATAATTGTTCCCTTAGGCAGAGTTATAGTAGCTCTTCGAGAGCCTTCAATTAATTTGCTACTACCAGAAATTGTAGTAACATCTGCCTTACACATACTTAAATGAGAGAAATATTTCTTTTCTTTGAATATTGTATGTGTCGTATACAATGATTCAAAAGGCGGGGGCGTGAGGCGAGGCGTTTTAGCTCTGACGAGGCGAGTCGTAAGCCCTGAGACATGGGGCGTAAGTCCCACGGATCTTTAAATTTTACTAATTTCAAGAATTTTAAGATAGTATAAATAAAAATAATTTATAAAATTACATTAAAGTCGCAAAATTATAACAAATAATCTATTTAAAATATTTATATTATAATTCAACTAGAAATAATACGAAAAGTTTGGCATATATCATATCTAGATGGCACGTGCCCGTGCCCGCACGAGCAAATGCCCGACAATATTGTTTGTGTTATTTGCACATCTACAAGATCAATGAAAAAGTGCAACACGGAAAAATATGTTAATACCTATATCAAACTTTTGACATCACCCCAAAAAAAGGGAAGCACTACTGTTAAATTATTAAATCTTTACTAACATATCAACACTTAATAAAAAATTTATGCATTAAGAGAGTAACCTTTGCAGATAAAAAGCAATTTCTTTAAAAGTGAAGAAAAAGATAACCCAAGAAACACATATTGTTCGAGTGTTTACACCAACAGAGCAAAGGCCCTGATATATGACAAAGTTCAACCGAGTTGACTAATAATCTACTCCCAGGAAAGGTATTACGGTAGACTTAGAATCTGACAAAAAGAATCAAAGAAATAGTAATAGCTAACTAAAGCATACTGAGTGACAAAACCAATATCCTCTCTAACAATCTTTTGGTTGCAGTGCTGACAGGAAGAGGGAGGTTTGAGAGTCTTTACTAACAACTTCTGTTGCAGCAAAAACTACAGTGGAAGCAACCGGTTTCACCAAAAGGATCCAAATTTTATCCCTTTATGTTTGAAAATTGTTTAAATTTACCATCCACTTTCAATTAAGAGGTTGTGAGTTTGAGTCACCCAAGAGCAAGGTGGGGAGTTCTTGGAGGGAAGGATGCCGAGGGTCTATTGGAAACAGCCTCTCTACCCCTAGGGTAGGTAGGGATGGCAATGGGGCGGTGCGGGTGCGGGGCGGGGCGGTTTTAAACACATGTGGGGCGGTATGGGTTTAAACACATGCGGGTGCGGTGCGGGTGCGGGGCGGGTCGAAATAAAAAAAAAAATAAAAAGTGTGCAGGTGCGGTGCGGGTGCGGGTTTAAAAAATTCATTAAAGAAGGAAACTCAATTTTCTACCATAATGAAGATGAAACCCATACCGATGGAAATTGGGTCTAAGCTAAGTAAACTTCTAACATAATAAATTCGGTATCTCCAAATCAGTAGTAAAATAAAGCGAATAAATAGAAAAATTATGTGGAGAAAGAATGAATAATTCGTTTACTAGTACCCAAAAGGAAGTTACAGTAAGTCTGACACTTCTAAGATTAACAAAATCTGCAACTCTTTGAAATTAATAAAAGTACGAGTAGATATAATAAATGTACAAAAAAAAATCCAGCCAAAAGATTAAAAAATAAATAAACTAACAAAATAAAGGGAAAAAAAGTTAAGCGGGTACGGGGCGGGGCGGGTGGCGCGGGTGTGGATGCGGAGCGGGTGAACGCGGGTGCATTTGCTAAGCGGGGCGGGACGGGGCGGGGTGGAA